CGCTCCATGGCACGTGGGATCTTCCCGGACTGGGGCATGAACCCGTGTCCCCTGCATCGGCAGGCGTGCTCTCAACCACTGCGCCACCAGGGAAGCCCCCTTTTAAACCATTTTGAGTTTATTTTTGTATATGGTCTGAAGAAGTGTTCTAATTTAATTGATTTACATGCAGCTACCCAGCTTTTCCAACACCACTTGTTGAAGAGATGGTCTTTTCTCCATTGTATATTCTTGCCTCCTTTGTCATAGATTAATTGACCATAGGTGCATAGGTTTATTTCTGGGTCTTCTATTCTGTTCCATTGATCCATGTCTGTTTTTTGTGCCAATACCACACTGTTTTGATTACTGCAGCTTTGTAGTATAGTCTAAAGTCTAGAAGGGTTATCCCTCCAGCTTTGTTCTTTTTCCTTAGGATTGCTTTGGCAATTCTGGGCCTTTTGTGGTTCCATATAAATTTTAGGATTGTTCGTTCCAGTTCTGTGAAAAATGTCATGGGTATTTTGATAGGGATTGCATTAAATCTGTAGGTTGCTTTGGGTAGTATGGCTTTTTTTTTTTTTTTTTTTTTCTTCACTACTGCACGTGGGCTTTCTCTAGTTGTGGAGAGTGGGGGCTTCTTCATTGAGGTGCGCATGCTTCTCGTTGCATTGGCTTCTCTTGCTGCAGAGCACGGGCTCTAGGCACACGGGCTTCAGTAGTTGCGGCATGTGGGCTCAGTAGTTGTGGCTTGCGGGCTGTAGAGTGAGGCTCAGTAGTTGTGCATGGGCTTAGTTCCTCCACGCCATGTGGGTTCTTCCCGGACCAGAGCTCGAACCCCTGTCCCCTGCATTGGCAGGTGGATTCTTAATCACTGCACCACCACGGAAGTCCCAATATGGCTATTTTAACAATATTAATTCTTCCTAATCCAAGAGCCTGGAATTAAATGAAAAATTTTAAACTTCACTCTTGTGGCACTTTGTTTTTGTTTTTGTTTTTGTTTTGCGGTACGCGGGCCTCTCACTGTTGTGGCCTCTCTCATTGCGGAGCACAGGCTCCGGACGCGCAGGCTCAGCGGCCATGGCTCACGGGCCCAGCCACTCCGCGGCATGTGGGATCTTCCTGGATGGGGGCACGAACCCGTGTCCCCTGCATCGGCAGGCGGACTCTCAACCACTGCGCCACCAGGGAAGCCCTGTGGCACTTTGTTATTGGAATCCTACTTTGTTCAAGGCTTTATATCATAAAATGTGCATTAATTAAAATTGACTAATTAATTAATTAAATATTATTTGAGTGCCTGCTGTGTACCAGATAGTGTTGCAGGTAGGAGGAGTTGCAGAGCATACAGCAGAGACAGAAATGTCCTCCTGAATCTTTCAGTCTCTTCTTCCTTTACCAATACCCAACAAGGAAACTACTCAGTCTACCTCCTTTAAAACACCTCCTTTTGACACCTCCCATGCCTTGCTGCTCCCAAGTAGAAATGACCACTATCTTATTGTGCCTCCACGATGTTCTTTAGATTTCTACCATAGCAGTTTATTTTTCTGTGACATATCTGCCTCCTACTAGACTTTTAGTAGGTGTTTTTCTGAAGGACCATATTAACTGATAGTATGGAGTAGGCTGTGATTTTGTTTTGACCTCACATCATTAGGCTTTCTTCCCCTTCTCCAATGACTGCTCACTTCTTTCTTCCCAGTTTCTTTGGATTTGTCTAAAACACTTTCTGAATACTCTCTTAACCATTTCACCTTTTAAAAAAATATTCTGGAATTATGGAATTTTAGAACAGGAAGAGATTTTAGAGACTGTCTGATTTAAAACTTCCAGTTTATAAGTGAAGATGAAAATCCAGAAAAGTAGTGTGACTTGCTCAAAATCATTCTAATGGTTAAAGACCAACCTCAGATTAAAATCCAAGCTTTCTTCAAGATCTAGTATAAATCTCTCTCTCTCGCTCTGAGATCTTGAAGTTCCAGCTCAGCTCATGTCTTTCTCTTCTGAATTATGCACTAATTGTCCACAAACTGCATCACTTTGGCAATAATCATTTAACCTTACATTGTTACTCTACTCTTTCACATTGGTGTATCTTGCCTGGCCAGTTAGCTATGAACTCCAAAAAGCACACATTTTGTCACTTTTATTTTCTCTCTTCTTAGCAGGTAGCACAGTAAATAGTAGACACATAGTAGGAATTCAGTAAATATTTTTACTAATTAATCACCACTTCTCACATACCTTTCCAAAATATAGTGGGTCTTGTTCCTTAACATTTCACTTCATTTCCTTTGTAATTTTTAAAAACCAGACTTAGATTCTCGGCAACCAATGAAAAGACGGTCATGCCTCTGCTCAGTCTGCTGCAATGTATTTTTTTCTGGACTTGGCAGAAAACCCAAGGTTTCTGCCCTATTTTTTTGTTTGTTTGTTCTGCATTTCATCTAATCTTCTAGCTCTTGGTGGCTTTCTCTGCTAGACATTGTTCTGTAATGACCCAATTAAATATGTCCCCATTTAATGTAGTGGAACTTTATGTGGGGCTAATTTCAAGTGATCATCCTGTAATTTTCCAAACCTTTATTTGTTAATTTTGGTTCCCTGGAACAGTGTACTTGCTGCTGATGCTAGTATGGCACCACAATAAATCCTCTTGCACTGATGTTCAGGCAGAAGACACAGCTGTGAGGAGAGCTAGTCATGTGTCATTTAGTGCCCTTTAAGGGATCCTTGTTTATCCATTGTCTGAGCTTTAAGTAGAAGCTAAAAGCTTTTTTTTAAACCTACATAATTTTTCACTGAATCTGTTAGTTTCAGCATGTTGTTTGTGCTGTTTTCAGCAGTGCAGTCCCCTGATCTATATCAAGTAAACATGATGATGGATTGAACTCACTTCGCTGTTCCTGTTCAGGTACTATTTTGATTTGTCAGTATCTTGGAGAGGTAGCACATGACATCCCAAGACAGAACAGAAGCCAGTGTTTGCAAAAGAACACATTTTTCAGCACAGCAGTATAGTAACTTTGAAATACTAATATGTTTTGAAATATGTCTGTGAACACTTTCTTATTAACATTATATCAGTGTACACAATGTTCTTTCTTTTGACATCTAGTCATTATTAGGGTTATTTAAAATCTATATTAAAAATCATTGGTATTTTAAAGAAAATCTGTTCATTTCCATAGCAAAGTAACTTATGTCAAATGATATGTGATTAGATGATGCCCTGTGTACCCTGTGCTATTTCATGCCTTCGTGCCTTGAACGCACACCCTTCTCATTCTCTTCCCTTGAAAGCACTCTCTTCTCATTCTCTAAGCCTTCTGTGATCCTGTTTGAATGTCTCTTCCGCAACGATTTCTTCCTTGTGTCCTACTACACCTAACTTACACGATATTACACTCATTATACCTGTATTACAGCTATTAGTTTACATATTTATCATCTTGTTAGACTGTGAGATCCTTAAAGATGAGAATTTTGTCCCGTTTATCTTTCCATCATCTAGTGCTGTATCTCACGTATATTATGTTTAATGAATGAATGAAAAAGATTTATTCCCTCTGGATATAGTTGGCTCATCCTTAGTCACTCTACCACATATAAGGAAAATCCTAAAAGTCTAAATTTTTCTTGTTTTTTTTAAGAATGGAAATAATTTGATATTTTCTCTTCGTAGAAATGAAAAAAAAATTTAATAGTTTACCTTCATGTTTCTGAAAGTAATGCATGCTCAAAACAACAACAAATCAGATAATCAGAAAGGAAAAACAAAAAGTGAAAATTGCCCACAATTCCACCCATCCAAATGTAACCACTACTAACATTTTAGTATAGATCTTTCCTGATTTTTTCTGTCTACATACATACACACACAAAATATTAAACAAAATTTTTGTGACCTGCTTTTTCACTTAAAAATACCTTGGAAGCAACTTTCCATGTTAATCAAATTAGCACTACATATTCACTTTTTTTTTTTTTAGGTCTTGTCTTTTTAAGCAAATTAATACTTTTATTAACATGGTAAATTTTTTTTTAAACACACAGTAGGGTTTTGACCTCAAATACTTGTCAGGTCTGCTACTGAAATGAACTTACAGCTAGAAAACTTGTGAATCTTGAAGAAACCTCGTCCTTGTTCAGTCTAGGGTCCAAAACAGACGGCCCTTGCTTTTCTTCCCCAGACCCTCAAGGGCCTTTGCAAATATCTCTTTCATTTTATGTCCAGAATCCCCTGAAATGCATCAGGGTATTACATCGATTATACGGAATACCAAGATCTATCTTGTCTCCTATTCTAGGTTCCATGTCACATAAAGCTAAGTTAGGTTGTCCAAACAATATGACCAGACAGGTTACATCAGTGTGCCACATAAAACTTAAAATTTGAACAAAATACATCTCTCCTCCTTTGTTCTCACAGAGAAATTAAAGTCCCCAAATACAATACCATCCTGCAGCCCTTCTTCTGATTCATCAGTCCTCGCCAGATCAGCCCCATTCACATTCCCAGTTGAAGTCTGATCCCTTCTTCAACTTCTTTAGCAATCGCTTCATGGAGTCGTCTTCTAGAAATAATGCAGCTCCTTCAGCACCTTCAGAGCTGGAGAACTCCAACTCTGAGTCTCATCTGTTACACACAGACTCAAAGTTCCAGGGAGCTATCAGGTCACACAAGAAAGAGCAAAGCACCTCAAAAATTTAGAAATAACCAAAAGCCCAGGAACAAATGTAACTGCTGCAAGAGCTTACAATCTAGGCCCTAATTCTTGTGAGGGCATTTTCCAAATAAAAGTTACCTCCCCAAAGAAAAACATTTAACAGTCAAAACTCACATTGAGGTCATTAACCACAGACCATAGCAGAAACGTGGTGTAAGTGAGGACAGAGCGTAGACAGAGAAAAAAAGAGAAAACAAAAGGCTCTCTGGTTTCAGCTTCTCCAGGGTGTCAGCCAACCTCCATCATTTGACCAGAATCCATTGGCTGTAAACGGCTGACCCTCCTTCAGGACGACTTGCTCTTCTCTATCCCCCAGAGCAGCTCCACCAGCATCTCTGCCATCTTCGCGACCTCCTTGGCCTTCTCCTCCACCTTCCTGCACCATTTGGTCCCTGTGCCCTCGACTCCGTTGTCCGCGTTGTGCAGATGGTTGAGTGCGCGCTCCTCTGAGGCCTCCACCTGCGTCTTGATCTGGATGAGCATACTGTCCATCTCCCACAGCTTGCTCCCATTCTGCAGGTAGGCTCTCCTGTGCTCGCGGGTGAGCACCACGATGTCCTCGCGCATCTCGTTGATGACCGGGAGCAGGAACTGCTCGAAGTCCTCCTCGGGCTCCATCACCTCCACCTCCTCCGTCTCTGACAGCTCCGTGATGTCCAAGGACTGCACCTTCCCCGCTATTCCGGAACCGCAGGATGCAAATCAGGCGCAAAGAAGCAGAGGACCTACATATTCACTTTTGGTAAATGCATAGAAAGATATATTTTATTTTCTTTAACCAATCCCTATAGATGGACACCAAGTTTTTTAGGTAGATTCTTATGGTTGCATGGAACAAATACCACTCTTCTAAGACATTTAAAAAATATAAATAAGACCCTTTTCTCAAGGAAAAGGAGGGTGTATTATAAGGATGTATATAGATTGGAAGTAGAACCAGAAGTGCATCTATCAGGAATAGAGCTCTAGGAACCACCTTCTCTTTCCGGTGCCTCTATCTTTCTTTTCCCCATATTTCCCTAATAGTCCCTTCTTCCTCAGAGTGTTTGCTTCTCTAGACATCCACTGGCACGTAGTTATGGCTTGGCTCACTCCAGACTCTTAATGTATGCCATTTCTTCAGCTTCTGTTCCTGCTTCTCAATCTGTAGCAGTTCAAATATTTTCATCCCACACCCAAAGGATGGTCTTGTACATGCACTCCACTTTGGATCCCCTGGTGTAGAGACTAGAAAAAGAAGTGGCAAGAGATGAAGATGAAGAGATAAGTGAGGGCCAGATTATGGAGAAGTTCATATTAAGGGGTCTGGATTTTTACCTAAGAGTAATAAGCCATGAAAAAGTTTTAAGAGAGAGTGATGCAATCAGATTTATGATTTAGAAAGACTTTTCCAGCCAAGTGTGATTGTGCCTTAAGTATATAGACGGTATACAGAGGGCCAGTTAGGAGACAGTTGCGATAATTCAGGTGAGAAATTATAGAGTCAGGGAAACAGTTTTTAATTTCGGCCACTGGATCACTCCCGGGCCATTCACTGAAATAGGGAACCCTGGAGAAATGCTCAGAAGTTTCTTTGTAAATTAACTTATAGCCATTTTTATAGCTGCAGAAATCTTTTCAGCTGTAGAGAAAACTGCACATCGCTTCACTACCTCCTTGAAGATTTCACCTGACAACCTCAGATCTTTCTGTTTTCTCAGATCTATGCAAGAGCTGTATGGGGATGTAGTTGTCTTCAGTTTTAAGCTGTGAATCTCACTTTCACTCCTCTGGCTTTATCCTCTATCATAATGAAATCAATTTTCTTGACTGAATACCATGTCATACCTTTCACCTCTTCCTGCCAGTGTGTAAGAGATACATAAGAAAAAGTACAAAAATTTTCTTCTGATAATGAGCTCATAAAGTGAGATCATCCCTGTGCCCCCTTATTTCTTCTTCTTTTCTTTTTTTTCACTCTCTGGGAGGCTGCTTTGGAGGAAACATCTGTCCAGGCTGTTCTTCACTTCTAGGAAATATTAGGGATGGTTGACTGAGGCTTTGAGAAATGAATTCCACAGGAAAAGGAAACAAGGCTTCTGGTTTAGTCAGCTAGCTTAGTTAACAAGACAAAAAATTCCCTTAGTCCAGGAGGGGAATAGTAGGTAGCACCTGGAAAGTTTCATTATGCCTGGTGCTCCACGCATCTGCCTTTTATTCCGCAAGCAGGACCTATATGAGCAAGACTGATGGCCAGTTCTCCATCATGCTTGCAGCAGGAGACCTCTCTCCACTGCCTTTCTCATTTTCCTCTTCCACTGAGGGGTAATTTTTGAATGGGAGAAAATTAAGTCTAAGAATTTACTAACTTGAAACACTGCTTGTTAGAATAAATGTTTTATTGCTTCTCTGCCCTTGGGGTAAGATGAAGTGTAGAATATATGTCTTAGCTATAGTATTATTTACATATAACTTTGGGTAAAGTAGCAAGACCTAGCCTATCTCACCTAAATCCATTGAATTATTCCTTCAAATCGTTATCCAAGGGTTAACAAGTATTTACCTCTTGCTTAGAACTTCTTTAAAGATTGTTTATATGTCCTAGATTAGAGTTTTCTTAATGGATACATAGAAACACGAATTCCATGGGAATGCTCAAAAAGTAGATGAGGGTGGGGAGCATGGGTCCATGGGGCAAATCATTTTGGTAAGCACTTCATTCTCAACCTTCCTCTTGAAGATCCACAAATTACATCAAGTTATTAAAGTCCTGAGAAGTTTTATAATAAATAAACTTATTAACTTTTTAAACAGTTTCATTGAGATACAATTTACTTACCATAAAGTTCACCCATTTAAAATGTATAATTCAGTGATTTTGGTGTATTTTCAGAGTTTTGCAACCATCACCACTAATTTCAGATCATTTTCATTATCTCAGAAGAAACCCATAAGACGTCATTCCCCATCTTCCTGCCCCACAAGGTCTAGGCTTATTTTCTTTTTCTACAGGTTTGCCTTTTCTGGGCATTTCATATAGAGGGACTCATACAGTATGTGGTCCTTCGTGACTGTCTTCTTTCACTTAGCCTAAGGTTCACTTAGCTGTCTTCTTTTTTAAAATTTTTTTGGCTGTGTTGGGTCTTCGTTGCTGCATGTGGGCTTTATCTAGTTGCAGCGAGTGGGGGCTACTCTCTGTTGCAGTGCGCGGGCTTCTCATTGTGGTGGCTTCTCTTGTTGCAGAACATGGGCTGTAGGCATGCGGGCTTCGGTGGTCGTGATGCGTGGGCTCAGTAGTTGTGGCTCGCGGGCTCTAGAGCGCAGGCTCAGTAGTTGTGGTGCATGGGCTTAGTTGGTCCGTGACATGTGGGATCTTCCCAGACCAGGGCTCGAACCTGTGTCCCCTGCATTGGCAGGCAGATTCTTAACCACTGTGCCACCAGGGAAGTCCTAGCTGTCTTCTTTCTTAGCTGTCTTCTTAACATAAGGTTTGAGGTTCATACATGTTTGTAGCCTGCATCAGTACTTCAGTATTTTTAATTTATTATTTACAAATAATGCTGCTATAAACATTCATGTACAAGGAAACCTATTAACTTTGCATGTGTTGAATAGCAAGATGAGACTGTAGCCATATGCCTGTGAGCATTTAGACATCATAAACTGTCATTTGATGAGCTAAGCTGTCACTGGGAAAATATTGTATTCGCTTAGGCTTAGGTTGTTCTTCTTCCACAAAATAATGTATATAAATTATATCAAAGGGAAGGAAAGAATATATCAGATGCACTATAATGTTACAAAAATGTTTGCATGCTTACCACTTTATAATATTTCTAGTAGAGAAGAGAGGAAACCTATCTTTTAGTGCTGCAGATGAGAAGGAAGAAGTAGTGGTTGGATGTCTTCACTGTCAATCTTTTTTTTTTTGGCGGTATGCGGGCGTCTCACCGCCGCGGCCTCTCCCGTCGCGGAGCACAGGCTCCGGACGCACAGGCTCAGTGGCCACGGCTCACGGGCCCAGCCGCTCCGCGGCATGTGGGATATTCCCGGACTGGGGTACGAACCCGTGTCCCCTGCATCGGCAGGCGGACTCCCAACCACTGCGCCACCAGGGAAGCCCCTTCACTGTCAATCTTGATTAAAAGAGACGAAGGCAGGTCAGCCGGGAGGCTGCAGTGACCAGGTCATGTCTTAAGGAAAATGTGGGGTCAATCTCTAGCTCTGCTTTCCAGAGAAAAGCACCAGGAGCAGGTGGCTAAAAAAGCACCAGGAGAAAGATCACCAGGAGCAGGCGGCTAAAAAACCAGTGTGGGTAATATCCAGTGATTACTTAATGCTCTCGTGAGTAAAAAAAAAAAAAAATCAGGGAGCTATGTTTAAAAATCATTTTAACTGGGCTTCCCTGGTGGCGCACGGGCTTCCCTGGTGGTGCAGTGGTTCAGAATCTGCTAATGCAGGGGACACGGGTTCGAGCCCTGGTCTGGGAAGATCCCACATGCCGCGGAGCAACTGGGCCCGTGAGCCACAGCTACTGAGCCTGCACGTCTGGAGCCTGTGCTCCTCATCAAGAGAGGCCGCGACAGTGAGAGGCCCGCGCACTGCGATGAAGAGTGGCCCCCACTTGCCACAACTAGAGAAAGCCCTCGCACAGAAACGAAGACCCAAAACAGCCAAAAATAAATATAAATAAATAAATTTAAAAAAATCATTTTAACTGATGCCTGCCTCTTCAAGAACTGACATTTTCACTTAACTGAACCTACTAATTAATTTGGGTCTTGGTTTAAAAATCCTCCTCTTTTTTTTGCCATATCAATTGCCAACTTCCTTGGAATTAATGTTCCATGGAGCATATTTAGGAAATGCTGCTCTAGTTGCCTCTGTTTTTAACATCATTCCATGAGCTAATCACTTCTCTTTGGGTCAAAAGCTGTGATCTTTTCCCAACAACAATCATTTGAGTCTTCATAAAACATCAAATACAGAACCTAACAACCTGGCCATTTCCCTATATTTGTGTCCTAGGACAGTTCAGTTAGTTTCTAATGTATTCCTACCTAGGGTCAAAATGATTTATGCTCTTTAAATGAGTAGTCAAAGTCCTGAAATTTAAAAACTGATCTAACATCACTCTTAAAGGAAATGTGGATGAACTGAACTGACAGTGTACACAGTGGCCAAAGTAGAGCTATAAACTCCAGAGGTTAGATTATTTATTTATTTATTTTTATTTATTTATTTTTGTGGTACACGGGCCTCTCACTGTCGTGGCCTCTCCCGTTGCAGAGCACAGGCTCTGGACGCGCAGGCTCAGCGGCCATGGCTCATGGGCCCAGCCGCTCCGTGGCATGTGAGATCTTCCCGGACTGGGGCACGAACCCGTGTCCCTGCATCGGCAGGCGGACTCTCAACCACTGCACCACCAGGGAAGCCCCTAGATTACTTTAAATCATATCTTTTCTAAAAGAGAGCAGGGATATAAATTCTAAAAGCAGGTCATATAATACTATTGAAAGCTGTTTACAACGCATATTCTTTACTACAGCAAATTTACCTTTCTAATTATGTTTCGTTTACAACACTGCTAAATTTTTCTAATAAGCCAATTGTTCTCATCGTTTTCGTTGTTGTTGTTCTTTGGCACACATGAAGGATGATGATCACTGATGTGACAGTCTTCTAGGGTTATCTGCAATTGCCAGACAAGCTGCAATTCTATCCCTTTATTTCCAATTCATGAAAACATATTAGAATGCAGTGATGTTATAAAAGGAACTACTACTTACTTTTTCTGGTAGGGAGCTCAGCTGGGTTTAACCAAGCTAGTAGTCCTCTTTGAAAAAAGATCTCAAACAAGTCAAAATCAGAGCCAGACATATTTCCAGTAAATTAAGGATGAGATGAGATGGGAGTAATCAAGGTGCAATAGAAGCCAGATTTCAAGGAGAGATTGCCTCTTAGAAAGAACTCATCCCAAAGGAAGAAGTAATTAAACACTGCCTTTCTCAGTTTAGACCTCTTGCCTTTTGGACTGGCCTTTTAAATATTATACTTGTACCACTGATAAACCTTGTACTACAGGAAGGGTTATTAAATGACCATTACCACAGAATCAGAGAGCAGAGCAGTGAGGGGATCACCACACGGAAATGTTCACAGCTCATCCTTATTAGGTTTCTACACTTTATCTGCCCAAGCCTTGCTGTTTTTCGTTAGGTTTCAAAACTTTCCCAATCTTGCTGCTACCACGCGTCTCCATTGCTGAGTGAGAGACATTGAGTCCCATATTGATTCTGAAATTTAAAAAATTTAAATTTTTAAAAAGCTAAAAAGAGCAAGGATTCTTAAAAGTGACCCTAATGACATTTTGGGACAGTTAAGTCTGTGTGTGGGGCTGTCCTGTGCACTGTGGGATGTTTAGCAGTATTCCTAGCCTGTACCTGCTAGATGTCAATAGCATTCCCTCAGTTGTGACAACCAAAAATGTCTCCAGACATTGCCAAATATCCCCTGAGGGGGGAATATGGCCCCCAACTTGAGAACTACTGTGATAGAGGCGTGAAATGTCCTTTATCTTTTAATTCAGCTGAGAGAAAGAGAAAATGTAATTAAAATAATATTTTCTAAGGAAACTCTGGGGGAGAAAGCAAAACAGAAAAGCATAGCATTAATAAGTAGGGCTTACCTGGTGGCGCAGTGGTTGAGAGTCCGCCTGCCGATGCCCCGGTATGGGAGGATCCCACATGCCGCGGAGCGGCTGGGCCCGTGAGCCATGGCCGCTGAGCTTGCGCGTCCGGAGCCTGTGCTCCGCAACGGGAGAGGCCGCAACAGTGAGAGGCCCGCGTACGGAAAAAAAAA